ATGAATTTTTTTGAAGAAAAATAGCTGGATGCAAATTAAAATAATATTGAAAAGAATGTAAAGGTATGAAATTAATTCAATTTTCTTCTCTTCCATTAAATAAATGCAAAATTATTATTTATATTGGAAATTTTTTAATGCATGCAGTTTAGTTACGAAACATTTAAAATTTGAAATTGAATAATGGAATAATATTTTATATATAGAAAGAAATAATAATTTTTTTCAAAGACATTAAGAAAATTATTCTTATCGCATTCATTGTCATTTTTTGTATATAAACATTTTTTGTTAATTACATTTTATTTCACTGCAAACTGAGTTACGTTTAAATTGAAATTCACTGATTGCTAATAATTATCTACAATGATTGTGTTTACGGTTTTTCATTTGCCAAAAGCGTATAACAAACTTTAAATATACCAGCGGCATAATAGAAAAATATGCAGCAAATATGCAAAATGAATATAATCAGCTAAAAACCAATTTCGCTTGCTGACAAAATGAATTTGACCTTTAATGATGAATGCCTCAAATAAAAATATGAAAGCAATTTTTTTTTTAAATTTCGAGGTTTGCTTTTCTCTGATCATAATATACCCATCGTATACTCCAATAGCATTCATTATGAACTTTTAATAATATTGTGTAAAAATTTGGAAAGATCTGATGATATGATATGTTTATTAGTTGATGATCTTTGACTCCTGATTCTGATATTAACAACAAATTTTATCACGCCCGGATAAAATTTAATTTCCAACTAAAAAGATTGCATATGTGTTTTATCTTCGGAATCAACAAAAATTGAATCATTTTTTTTTAATTTAATTTTTTAAAATGGTTAATTTTAATCAGAGCTCTTTAAAAAAAATAGTTTCGAATTAAAATTAATTCATTTTACTCTTTGTTTTGGAATCAAAAATACTAGAAACTAAAAATTTCTTATTTAATTGGGCATTATATTATCGATAACTCGAAATAATTTAATAATATAAAATATTTACGTAATCAATATAAAGTATAAAATATTTATATAATCATGATACCTTTGTATTGCCTTTTGAAATTTTTTTTTTGTCTCAAATATTCTTAGTCAAATAATAGGATCATGTCCTGTTCAATATTTAAAATTTGCTGTAAATGATTAACTTCAAATAATTAACTCTCTTTTGTACCATCTGCTTCAATCTTCAAAAAGCTAAATGACCACTGATTGACCTTTTTCTATTTTTTTATGATCAGAGATTTTTTTTTGTTCACCATCAATTTCATGTAAATTATCTATTTACTGTAAGCATGCTTATCGAGACAAAGGAGAATATTCTGTGTAACTTACCTGTCATCTACACTCTCCTGAATCATCACCTCAACGAATAATCCCCAAATTATTCTCCGAGATTAACCAGTAAGCAAGAATAACCAAATGATCAAGTTAATTGATGATACTTTCTGATATTTTAATTATAATTTTGTCATTAATTAATAAAACTTTAACGATAACACAAAGCTATCATCCCTCGAGATGAATTTCACAACATATATTACGCTGTAATATAAGTTATAAACTTGTATTTTTTCAAACTTCCACAACGATCGATAAAGCACTAAAAGAGAGCATAGTGAGAGAGAAAGAGAAAAAGAAAAAAAAGTGAATATTTTATATTAGAAATTATTTCATTCACAGTGTGATATTCTGCAAAAATTTTAACATCAAATTAAAATGGTAATAGGCTTCGGTGAGCTTTAGCTTAGGTAATTAAGCTTAATGGGAGAAAAATTGATTTGAAAGGAGGAAATTTAATATTATAATGACGAGAAAAATGGAAAAAAAGAAGAGCATTCGTAATGCTCCAACCAATTCTGCAAAATTGAAAGCTTAAGTAAGCTAAAAAAAATCCTCTATCATACATTTTTATTTATTGTTTTTTATTTTTTGAAATGAATATTCTTTTTTTTCAAATGAAAAAAAGAAATGATTCAGTTTTTCCCTCATTATTGCTTGTCCTTCAAAATTCTCATAATTTTCATATGCAAAAATATCAGACACTAACTACATTATTAGCACTTTCATTAGTTTTTTTTTCTTTTTTTAATTTCAAAATATTGCATTACCTTCTAATTTTATCAAAAGATTATAAGAGACAAATAGTAAAGATAAATTTGATCCTTAGAAAAATGATTAAAACTTTTTTTTGTTTGTTCCATGTCTTAATTTAATTTTCAAGAATGAACAGGAAAAGAGGTTGGATGGTAATATTTTTAAAATGAAATTTTCTTTTCTTGAAGAATTGTGTACTATTGAATATGTCCTATTGATATTGCAATTTCATTGGATGCGGAGAGGAAGAAAGTATTTGCTGTCTGAAATCAAAATTACTATTTCATTTTTGTTTTATCGAATATATTAAATGCATTTGGAAGGATAAGAAAACTTAAATTTAGGCTTTTCACTATCGAGAATTGCTGTTCCATTTTTTTTTTTACATTGATTTCAATATCGTTTTTTTTTTTAATTTTTGTTAGAATTTAAGAATTGCTAGCAATATCAATCCACTATCATCACTGTTACATTTTTCAGTAATATCAATTTTTTTTTTTAGAAATGAAAATATACGTAACTGTCTAATTTTGGTAATCTTAGCGGAACAAAACAATTTCCATTATTCATATATTAATTCAAATTCGATTTTTCAGTAATATTTGCATTGCTTTATTACAGGATTGAGTACAATTTTTTTTTTTACAAATATGAAAATATATTATCAACAAATATTTAAAGTCACAAGCCATACGACATAGCAATTAAGCAATAAATAAAGCAATTATCATATCCGATCGTATCCATTCCATTTCAGTCCTATCCATTGCTCAATATAATTTTAAAAGCATGTGTGTTCGTTTAAATTGTCATGCCGTTAATCCGTTTGTTTTCAATTTTTAAAACTTTCCGTTTCTCTCATATAATCTTTTCTTCTCATGCTATCACTATTTTAAAACTTAGAAATATGTATGCTTCATTAGAGAAAACCAAATATGATCGATATATTTTGTAAAAATAAAAAAAAAAAAGAAAAAAAATGGAAAGAAGAAAAAAATCTATTTGAATAGGAGAAAATAATTTTAAATTAAAAATTTCAGCAGCAATAATGAATAAAATTTCACGGTTATTGATTGTGCTGATTTAAAGAGGAATAGAAACAAAATTTGCTAAATGTTACGGTAATTGTGCATGAATTGTGTCATTTAGGAACTTTAATTTGAAAATATTTTATATATTTTGCTTTCATCGATTGTAAATTAAAAAGATTGAATTGATCGATAAAAATACTTTCAATTTCATTCATTTAATAGATTTGGCAATAAATTTCTTCGTTTAATTCTCCATCTTTTCTTGAGTCAATTAAAAAGTTGTTTTAGAAGTTTTTCTTAATTTATTTTATTAATTTGTAATACTTAAATTTACATATTCCTGAATGCTCAATTCTATGATTTTTCACTAATAATATATGATATACATTTTATATAAATATTTGTGTATGTGTATGTGTACGATAAATAAATGTTGATGTGCAGATTTTAATTTTCCAGAATTTTCAAAAAAAGTTTTAATGATTTTTTATTTTCAAATGAAAATGCGAAATGTTATTTGGGAAGGTAAATAATGGAAATCAATAAATATATATGTCATTTATCGTATTGTTTCCCTTTGGACACTTAAAGCATTTATAGTGTATGCTATTTGTTCCTCAAAAATTATTAAAATGAAATTTTATTTAAACCAAAATTTTCTTTTGACAGAAGAAAAAAGAAGAAAAATGATTTGCAATCAAAAAATTTATTTCATTTGGGCTTGAAGTGAATGAAAAATATTTGAAAGAGAGAAGGAAACAAAGGATTATGACGTCATTGCCGGATACGGTACGCTTAAAATTCTCGTGATTTATACGTGAAAAACTTATCCATCTTCTCCATGCAATTTAATTTCTAATTTAACGGGAAATGTAAAGAATCCTTCTTTTTTATCCTTTTGCATATTTTATTTCAAATTAAGTTAAATTTACTTTTTAGCTTTTTAGCTTTCAATCCTTCATCTGTTTTCGATGCTCAGTTATTACTATAATGCTTCAGTGACATTTGAATAAAAAATATTTGAATTTTATTTTGAAAAAAAATTTTGGTTTTTCATCACTTTAATTGATTTCTTAAAAGTGTCTATAATGTTAAATGAGATCATTCAATGCATGTTGTAAGTTTTAAATTCTCCAACATCCTTTTATGCTTCGTTGTTCTTTCTTTCGTTCTCTTTTAAGTTTTTTAAAAATTACTAATTTAAGTCTTTTTCTTCCAATTATTTTTAATCCAAGAAAAAAGGATAATCTTCTGGCAATAGTAATCGATTAATTTACTGAAAAGACTGGTAATAGTTATTATCGGTTTAAGCTTAAAAATATCTGTTAAATATTTTACATCTATTAGTCACAAAATTATATAATTCAAGCTTTTTCAATTTAAAAAAATGAAATAATCTATTTTATGGTTTTATCTGAGAAGAGATGAGGTAGTAATAAAATTAATAAAAATTATAATAATAATAGATGTAAGCCATGTTAAGAAACGAATTAATCAATAGACCAAAGCAGTCAAATATATTGCAAGCTTATTAGCTCTCATAGAAAACAGGCTTTTATTTTCATCCACTAGCTGATTATGTTTAATTAGGCTTATATTGCAATGCCTAAAGGACATGTATCTTTCGAATGTTCAGCAAAAAAAAAGCGTAAAAAATAGCTTCCGACG